AAAAGGAATTTCATCATCAACCTGAAATAAGTGCCCACTGCTAAGCAACTGCCTTTGCTCTCTCGTAATTAATATTAATTATAAGTAGGTACATATCGATAAGAACTAAGGTAAGAAAACAGGTCTGAAATAAAATATACAAATAGGTATTCGCAATTTCATAATAATTATAAAGTACCTTGGTACCTATAGTACACATTGAAGTTAGAGTGTTAGTAAGTAGATAAATGTATACTCCGTTCTATACAAACTTGATACTAATTACGAGTAACGAGTGAAATAGGTAAGTAGTTGGTAGTGCTAACGATGTCTGAGTACAGTGCACGTGTAGGACCACCCACAGGCAGCCTCCGTCTCATATTGAGAAGCTCATTGTGACTAACAGGCGTGTAAACAACTCGATATCGAATCACGAACGAGTTACGATCGATGGGGTGTGAAAGTCGCTGCACTTGCCACTTGCGTCAATTAAAGGCGTCGGAAAGCGGCCCTTAACGGCTCTCGGTATCCGTTCTGTTGTGTGGCTTTATCACTGAATAAAAAGGACTAAGAAGTATATTATTTCTACTATATTATTATCTTTACGTCTTCAATATAAAAAAAAATATCTCTGAATATTGTTTGAGCCCGTTGAGAAGCATTTTTTTTAGGTCAAATACTTATTTCTTTTGAATGAATCTAAAAAATACGAATACTTACTTATTAAGTTTATCGTAAAATGAATAAATTGAGGTGTCCGCATGTTGAGTACTTTTCTGAGTTTTCTGGTTTTATATGTAGGTTGAAAAAGGTAATTAACTTTCTTTTGAAGAAAAATGAGAAAAGGAGGCCCTTTTCAAGTGTTTCCTTGTTAAGGAGTGGATATCCTTACTACGATACTAGGTACCTAACTATTAGTTCTTTTTATAGTGATTAACCGACTCACATGAGTAGATAAATGTGAAGTGATTTTGGCAGTATAGTGAAGTTTAAGTTAAATGCAAAACACCTTTACTTTTCGGCTCTTTTTGCTGTGATTGGACTTACCTAATTAAAAGTGTATGCGTAAAAAAGAAGTCTTTTATTTCGGTTCTGTAAGCTGTTTACTACTTCAAAAAAGCCGAAGTTGAAATTTAACGTAACAAATATCAAATAAAGCACTAACTACAGTTGTTAATATCCATTACACGTATATAAAGTGTTATTGTTTGCTAACATAGTAACTAATGCTGGCATGATACGTGGATAATAATTAAGGCACATAACTTTAACAAGATCGATGTGCAGTGGAACAAGGCTCTTGTTTGTTTCTCTCCGCAATTTTGTTCGAAATTATAGACTCCGTTCACCGCTCCGCGCAGTTTCAGACACGCCTCTCACGAGTCGCTAACTAGGGCTACCAAATTCATTTTTTTATGCAGACATGGCGGATAACCATGTTTATTTAAATAGTTTTATATTCATGGTAATTTAATTGGTACCTACCATTATTACCAAATGGGTGATACTAAAGTAGTACCTAACTAGAATATGGTCAGCAATTTTGGGGCAAACCTGTCATAACCTCCCAAAAACGGCTGCTTTACTGCTGTAAGCTAGTACCTACTGTAGACACTAACATGAAAACACTAAAACTCTAAAGTCCGGCGCGTCCCAGGGATATGAATAACTGCTTTGTATCTCGCAACGAAGTATATCAAAATTTACCTAATGCAGTAGATATAAGACTTTTAAAACTTTAACACAAAGATGCTGGTCAACTGAGAAAATCCCTTGGAAACTGGGTTTCTCTCAAAGCCACGGAAAATTGTTTTGTAAATTAATTTGTCTTATGTGTGACCTGAGGATAGTTCCTGGCGATACGTTACACTTATAGCAGAACCACAGAAATATAAAAAACTTATATCTATGAGCAGAACGCATGAAAATAATAGCAGGAAAATTGATCTTGAATCTAGAGAAACCATAATATTGTTACCGATAGTAAATAATTTCGTATAGGTAGCCAAAGCATAAAGATTGTCTTTTTCTTCTGTCTATAATAACAGTCTTTTCTCTGAAATCCAACCACTGGTTTAGATTGTAAATAGTGCTTTTAAGTAAATTACATACCAACTCTCATTCGCCGGATACACAAATTACTTTGCAACAATACCGTGTCGCAAATTCATTTGAGAAAAAAATATTTTCGACTTGTAGAGATCCAAATACCTAACAAAGTATTTTATACTTCAGAAAACTCTTCCACACAAAATTATAAAAACTCGTTTTGAGAATGAACTTTTTTTATTGGAAATAATAAGAACAATATAAGTGTAGCTATACATGAGCTATACCTACCGTAATTATTATTAATTATTTTACCAGTATTTTATGCTTAATTCTTTCGCTGTTCCGCTTATAAAACATATATAGTACCTATATTCTGAATAATGATCAAATATTTGGTAGTATGATTTGATTTAATTTGACTTGTAAAACGAAATAATGCCGTTGATAGGTGCAGTAAAAAACGGCCAAAGAAATCTTAACTTCGTCTTTGGCCTATTTCTTGCGCTGGTGATTTCTGTAAAATAGGTTAACCGTTGGTTTCTAATAAGTTATTATAATCGTTAAAAAATGTACACTGCTGCCATCTATAATTTAAAAGGTAAAATGAAGTCGGAAACTAGCTTTTTAAGAGTTTACAAATATATCTACTAGGTGGCGCTGATTTCAATGATACTTAAAAATATTATCCTTTATTAAATACAAAATGAATTAGTGAACTCATTATACTGTGCTCAAATTTTTTATTTACAAAATTATTAAAAATTGTTTCTATATTTGACAACTCAGCAGTAACTAATCCACTATTTCGCATTGCCACTCAACATCTTCGGTAGTATAGTGGTCAGTATCCCCGCCTGTCACGCGGGAGACCGGGGTTCGATTCCCCGCCGGAGAGATCCTTTTTGCAAATTTATTCTTGAACATCTAAACTGCTTATTAGTTTTTATAACTTTTTTGTTAGCTCTTTCAAAATAATAATAATTATAATTTCCCGTTTTGTATTCACAGTCTGGAAAATATAAAACTTGGCTTGTAATAAATTTTTGCCTACATTCTACTACATTCCGCTATTTAAAAATGCCGTTTATAATGTAAAAAAAAGCGTCAGAAGAATAATAATTAGCTACATCATCTTGTAATAAAACCGGATATCACGGTAATGTTATCCACATACAACCGTATCTATGTATAATCTAGTACCATTGTAACTTTTTTCAATTGACACGTACCTACACGGTGAAAAAAACGTCGTGAAAAAAATCTGGATTTAGATTTTTTTATTATAATTTTGAAATCACCAATCCGACTAGAGCTAGCATAACCTTTTTCGTGTGAGAAGTGGCGTTTGGTCAGCAGCGTGGGCACTAAAACGCTGGAGAAGACACGCAGCTACCCAAGCCCTGTAATGTAGAATTGTGTGGGAGAGCTATGCTGGTGAGCTGGGCCAACTCGATCGAAGTGATAACACAGCTTCTCAGGAAACTGGCGTTAAACAACGTTTGTGTTGCGTATCGTCAAGTGAGTAGGTAGGTTTCAGCCGGGGCGGCGACCGCGGTCTCGGCCTAAAGCAGGAGAAGGAACGGGAGGGGTTTTTAGTCAGTTGGACTCTAAAACTTTCTTTCGCCTAACCCTAGGCGGGATAAGTCATTCGAGGATTTTCCCCTGACAATAAAAAGGTTACCGGAGGCCCAATCCCTCACCTCCAGTTCCAAATCCGAGGCCCCAACATCAATTCGGGCTGCCATTGCGCGTCCTCTTCCTTATAGTTATTGGTATCGATGGGCGGTGCTGCTCACTTAGCAAAAGTACCTTGCCGAATGCTCGTTCGCCGATTTACCTATACTAGACTAAAAAAAAAGGCTCAACTTTTAACTTTCACGAGAGCTTGACAATAATGTTGCACATAATTAATTAGTTTACTAAATCTTACTCCAAATGGGTATTATTAGGACCCCGAGCTATTAAAAAAGAATAAGTAAAGAAATAAGTATAAATGTTTATTTACGGTACTCAACGTATACCTGAGTCACAGTAAAAATATTATTACCTTGCCTGAGTCGGTTGATTGAAACATACGTGATTTTGGTGCGACGTGTGGTAGATAGGGGTTCGAGTCTCGCACCGTACTTGCCCGGTTATTAATTTTCTTGGTTAGTTGTTAACGTTACAGATTTTGTTCTTATCTATGTAAGTACATAAATATCGCGGCTCTTAAATCGCCGTGACCCTGAAATTCTTCTCGTCTGAATTTTTCACTGTCTTTGCACTGTGTTTTATAGTTTTAGTTTTGTATTATTGCCATTTTTTGGTTCGAATGTTACGTCGTTTGAGTAAAGTTAGCGGAGGCCTAAGCCAACCCCCTCCACCCATCCCTTAACCTCAAATTTCCTATCTTTAACGAACTTCAAGCTAGCAACGCACAGGCACTATACTACATATTATTGTCTATGCACAACGTTCGGCGCCGATCACTGCCCATCAGGTGATCCGTATTCTTGTTCACAGACCTATCCCATAATAAAATATCAGTTGACTTATATAGGTACTTATGTATTATATACTTTAGGTATATATTTGTGTGACTAACGCGTGTCTATCATTAGTGACAATCGTGAAAAACACACGTTAGTGTTAAGTTGATAAGATTATTTTGTTTTTGGCAACTATTAATTCATTATACTCTCTTGACAATGCTCGTGTTTACTAGGTTAAATACCTATCTGGTAATTTATTTTAGAAACTTACTGATAACAACTCCTATTTCAAGGTTGAATGTTGTCGGAAGCCTGTTTACGAATCAATACTATGTAGTAGTAATAAAGTAATACTACCACCTGGTTGATACGATTATTTGTAAATGCTCAACATGGGGATCGAACCCAGGACCGTTAGATTAGTCTCATTCATTAGTTTCATTACAACCACTATGATAAAGTTCCTTCACAGATGAAATAAAATAAAAATACGAATAGTATTCCAAAATAGACTTTTAATATAAAAATTTCATAAAACTTTCGTTTTCATAATAAATACGTCTCGTCCTTTGGTAGATCAAGTTTAAAAACAATATAACCGATTATCATCACTGTTAAAAACATAAATAATGATAAAATCAATAAAAGAAAAAGTAAAGATATAAAATCAAACGAAACAATACATTTGCCGCGAGTTGGTGAGTATAAATTAACTCTAATATAATATTATTGTAAAAATTACGCGATACATAAAAGCATAATTATTCGAAAATTAAATAAGTAGACATTAAACATAGAAAGGCTACGATTATGGCACAGAGGAACTATTGGGGGCGAGTCGCCACCGCTCACTTCTCTTTGGGCTTCTTTTCCTTCTTGCGCGGTGGCGGGACGGGCGCGTCGCCGCCGGCAGCGGCCTCCTTGTCCTTCTTCACCACTTTCTTTACTATTTTTTTCTTGGGTGCGTCTGACGGTGGACTGGGCTGAGCCGGCGACGTCGCCGCGATTGGGGGAGTCGCAGGGGCTGTGGTAGCATCGGGCGTCGGCGGCGTAACGGTCTCTGTGATTGAAGACTCTATCTGTGCTGCTGTAGTGGACTTGCCCTTAGGCGGAACTTTGACGCCAATCTGTGCTAGTGATACTGCACCGACGGGTGGCGTGGGGACCTCGGGCCCCTCCACGGTCAAACGAGTGTTCTCGGGTACAGCAGGCGACTGGGCGACGGGCGGGGAAGCGGCGGTGACGGTGGGCGTGAGCAGTTCCCGCGCGATGATGTCGGAGGCGAGCGCGGCCGCGTCCTCGAGCTCGCTGTCGGGCGTGGGGAGCGGGTCGGCGGCGGCAGGAGGGCTGAGCTTCAGCTTGCCCGCCGGCTTACGACGCTCCTCGGCTACACAACCAATTTTATTCTCGCCTTTATTCTCTCGAGCGATAAGACGTGGCGTTAGTATGGCGGTCACATTAGAGAGCAAGCTCGGTTAGGGCCTGGAACAAAGTCGAGGGAAAACATAGCTACTGGTTAATTTGAAACGATGCAAGCGGAAAGTTAGAACTGTGTCAGTTAAGTGAAGTCAGTTTTAAAGCTTAAATGACCATTACAAGGATTATTATTTTATTTCTGGAATCAATATATTGGCAAGGAGGGCAATTCGTTACATTTTTACAGGTCGAAGTAATATTATGAAAATACTTAGTCATAATTACGTATAAGAGGTTCTAGATGGTGTGAACGAAATTGTGCGCTGACTACGTGAAGGTGTGTCGCTATGAGAAGCTTTGAATAATGTTCCTTGCAATGTGCGTAACAAAAATGTACATTAAGCATCGAAAAACCTGTTACAACTTCATCGAGAGGAGTATACTATACTCATAGTGAAAATACCTCTGAGAAGTTGCAACCAGCTCCATGGTGCATCACACAGACATGCGTAGTTGCATCAAATGATATTAGATGCAGCTGCACAGTAACAACTCATTCAGCTAATCAATTTGACATTTATAATAACAATTTAGAGAAACCGCAAGTACAATATTTTCTGCAGAAATAGCTTTATGAGTGTTCGACGAAGTATCCCTACAATCTGCATCTACTTGGACGCAACCCAACAACCACGAAATATTTCTGTACGAAAACGAATAAACAACAATGAAGAATTTCAATTAGATTTTTTTAGAAAGACAATTTTAACAAATGCGTTCTCAACAAAGTTGTCTAGGATTGGTAGACTTTACAAAATGTCGAAGCTATATTCACAAACATATACAGTTCCTCCACCGCCGGTAACCCAGAACCTTTCAGCGCAATAATGAAGTCGCGTTGAGTCCAAGTAAAATAATAATTATTACCTGATCTATCAAAGCCGCGTCTCTTGCGCTGCCTCCTCGGAAGCTGGGTGAAATAACAACGAATTGAAACTTATGCTGATAAATAAACATAAAAACCAAACATCACAAAACGGCACAAAAAGAAAACAAGTGGACACATCGAGTTACGTGACGGCCTTCTAAGCTACATACATCAGCAGACCGGGCCACGTAAAACGGATGCAGCTAAACTATAAACATATTAGTACAAGTCTGAAAACTGCAAAATGAACTCTGTGAGAATAGACAGTGCAAAGCTGTTATCTGTCTGTGGCGCGCTCGCCTATGTGCGTATACTCACATTTAGCAGCGGGAGCTAGCGGGGAGCTTGCCTCTTCCTTGGACGGGGTGTGCGCCAGGGGCGGGCTGTCCGACGCTGACAGCACCGGGCTGCTTTGCACGGGCGAGGCTTCAGTCTTTTGCGCAACACTCACAGCTTCAGGGGTCTTAGGGGCTTCTGACTGCACTGCTGCTGCAGCGGGAGCCTCTGCAGGAGTAACAGCTTCCACTGGCACAGGCACATCTGGGACAATTGCTTCTACAGATACAGGAACATCACTTGGTGCGGCAACCACTGGTGCAGCAGCAGATTCCACAGGTGCTGCGGCCTCTACAGTTACAGGTACTTCTGCTTCAGGAGCTGAGGCTTCAACTGGTGCTACAGCTTCAACTGTCACTGGTACTTCAGCACTCTGTACTGCTGCAGGGGCTGGTTCAGCTGGAGCTGACTTTACAGCGATGGGGGCTGCTTCAACTGGTGCAGGGGCTGCTGCAACTGATGCGGGAGTTTCCTCTACTGCTGCGGCTACCTCCTCAACTGTAGTAGGCACCACTTCTGCTGGAGCAGATGCAGCCTCAACTGGTACTGAAGCAGCTTCTACCGATGCGGATGATGTTTCTACGGTAGCTTCTGAGGCCTCCACTTTCACAGCAGCTTCAACTGGTACAGGTGAAGCTGCAACTGGCTCTGGCTTAGCCTCAGCTGGTGCGGGAGCAGCAGTTACAGGTTCGGGAGCAGGTTCAACAGGTGTTGGTACAGTCTCTTCCGATGCAGGTGCAGCATCTGCTTGTGCAGGTGCTGCTTCAACTGGTGCAGGTGCAGGCTCCGCTGGCCAATGTGAGGTCAATAGTGGTGCAGGCGCCGCCTCTACAGCTGTTGGAGGGGCGGCTTCCGCTGGAACAACTTCTTTTGCAACTTCGACTTGTTCTTCCTCTGGTTTCTGCACTCCTTCTCCTGACTGAACTACAACCTGTTCAGGGACTGATTTTGGAGGAGATTCTCTAGGAGGAGATTGTTTAGCAGGTGAAGTGCGGGGCTTGCTCAGCGTTTGTGAGATCTTTGCCCAAATGTTTGCAAACGAATCGGCGCCCATGTAGTCAATGTTGCCAGCCTCCCAACCTTGGCGACGAGACAGCTCATCCAAGGCTTCACGCTGGCCTGCAGAGCCCGGCAGCACACGAGCCAGATTGCCAGCCACACCACTCTGTAACAGAGGTTACGCTTATGTAGTTTCAGGGTTAAATATTACGAACAATACGACTACAGTTTATTACTATTACATTTCTAATGGAAGAGTGTTAAGAAATAGTTTAGTATGTGCAGAGTACAATCATAATTATGGTGAGCATGCGAAGCTAGTCTAAAATCTACTTGTACTTACGATATAATGGCAAACACTGGCACTTAAGCATAGTAACAATAAAATTGTTTACCTGAGGATGTAGTGTTTTATTTTCGATGTGTAACTTACTTGTTCATCTGAAATATTAGTGTCCATTGGTATTGATTGTTCCAGTAGGTGTGAGTCATCCTGAACTGGTGAGTCCGGTGGGGGAGAAGGAGATGGAGTGGGTGGTACTTCATGCGAGCACACTTTCCGACCGCGAGCGTCCACAGTGACCCTGTGCCTTAAGTAGAAGCCATCGTAGGGGTGTCTCGGCATTATGTCATCGAAGTCGTCAGTCTCACTTCCGGAGACCTCCCCATTCAAAATGCTTTCTTTATAAACATCTATGCGATGTAGTCGTCTGCGACGGTTGCGTTTTTTAACTTTCTTCTCTTGAACATGTTGTTCTAATACTTTGTGTATTGCATGGAAGTTTTGTGTATTTGGATCTGAACTGTTATAATAATTGTGATCGTGTCTCTGATCGTCAATTCTATAAACAGATTCAATGTGTTGTGTATGATTATTGTTGTGTTGTTGTGTGTTCTCGTTAATGTGTGTTGGTTGTAGGTAATGGTCATGTGATTTTTGGTGATGATCATGAGTCTGATGACTGTGATGATCATAGTGACTTTGATGCTGGTGCTCATTGGTTCCAGAACTGTGATGATAATGATGATTATGACTGTAATGGCCATGCTGATCATGGCTATGATGATGCTGGTGTTCATGCCCATGTTGATCATTGTGGTCATGCTTCTGCTGAAAATAGTGATCATGACTGTGATGACCATGGTGATCATAATGGACTGAACTGTGATGATCGTGACTCTCTTGACTATGATGCGTGTGATGATGCTGTTGATGATTATGATGGTCATGGTGATCGTGAGAATGATGAGCATGAGTATGTTGATCATAATTTTGATTATGGTGGTCATGTCCGCCCCAGCTTTGGTTGTGTTCTTGATGCCAGTGACTTAGATGTTGATTTTGATCTTGTGTAAGGCCATGTTGAATATTGTGTTGCCAATTATCTGTGTAGTGTCCTTGGTTGTTTTGGTTTGGATTATGTTCTGTGTAAGAAGGAGGTCCTTGTGCCTGGTATTCCCATGCGTACTTTCTAATTTCTTCGTGATCGTCTACCCTTGCTAGTTCTTCGTGTTGGCTAGCTTCTTCTTTCGTATTTGGCGGTATATGCCCTCTATAAATCGTCCATGGATCGTGAAACTCAGTAATATCTATCTCTTTCTTTCGCGTTTCTTCTTTTGTTTGAGTGTCGGGATGGTGCCAAGCGAATTCTGACTCAGGGTCCGGAGTGGGCTGATAGTGGAATTGTTGTCCCACGTCATGTGGAGGTAACGCAGGGGGGCCTTCATGTGTGTCCGCCACCTCAACCTATCGGTTGAAGTGAAACAACTCAGTAGTATGCATGCAGAGAAACACTTGAACTAAGCTTCGCACTAGCTATATCACTAAACAGTGCAAATAACTTTGTTCAAGCGACTATTAGTATTTAAATTAATATGCGTCACTAAATAAACAACCAATCTCAAAATATTTTCACATTATAAATCTATGAATAATAAGGTAAACAGACTAGAATGAAAAGCAACTAATATTTTTTTTTTGGTATGTTTATAAAGATTCCGCGGTGAGTATTCCACCAAAATACCAACACCATCTAAGTACTGTGTCCCATACAGATACGTATTAAACAAACCGTGCAAAAGCAGACAGACGTTATATTTGAAAGTTAGAATAAGTTAGTATTTTGGAGAAATATTTAGTCACACAAGTAAAATAATGCTTCAAACAAAGGTGCGTCAGGTAGGCAGAACAGTGCACAAGCGCATAGTGCAAGCTTTTGTTACAGGTTACTGTTTAGTCACTCAGGGATAGACAACATCCTAACACGGTGCTTTACTTAATCAAAAAGAAAAAATATGTAAAATCTGTACAAGTGTTCACCTACTCACATGAATATAAGGAGTAAAACAATGAAAGTCTTATAACAAAGGATCGAAAGCTCAATTTGAAATGTGTAAGTCTCACCTCTGCAACTTTAGAGTCCTTCCGTGAATGCTTGGAAAACATGTTGTAGTGTTCAGATCGGAGGGTGTAATGACAATGGATCGATTTACTAGACCATGCGAGATACCACGCGATACTCGCGGTCAAGACAAACCACACAGTATCGATGTCAACAATGTGGTAATCGATACGGACATTAATATCTAGATCAATCGCATATGCAATCTTTATCACATCTTGAGGTTACTATTGAATGTATTATTTTTGTGGTAATTCGATATGGGAATATCGATTTCATTTGTTCTATTTTAATTCGTTGCATATTCATGTAAACAAGTCCGCATACACTTTGCGGACTAGTCATTGTTTGGCTCGTCTCGTGTTATTTATAGCCGGATTCACTTTCATATTGTGTTTCTTAAAAGATCACCAAAGCCATTTAGAATCAGACTAACTAATGGGAGTTTATTTACTTATTCGAGTCGCGTTAAAGTCAACTACGATTTGTATGTGATCGGCGCTGGAGTCTGGACGCAAGAGCATTTTTGCTGCGCCAAACAAATTGTGGTTAACGATAAAGCGATTGAAGAGGAGAAAAATGTCATCAGGCACTCATTTTCATAAGTTCTTAATCCTACAGTTTATGTACCTATCGTATCTAAGGAAAGTGTCGAACGACTTACCATGCCGGTGTCAAGCTGGGAGTGCACTTGTCCCACGAAGAGGTCCCACCAAAGTTGGAGAAAGCCTCGGATGTGCTCGGGCGCATCAACTGATCCCGATTCAAAGTTGAACTGCTGCAGCCATGGCTTGGCGGCCCCGATAAAGTGGATGATTTTAAGGTTCTGCCCATAGCTGGAAGAAGAAATGTGCAAGAAGACGATTTAAGAATTAAGACTGTTGACTGTGCACGAATAATTTGTGTTTAATAAATATTTGAAAACAATCATAATGAAAGAAATCGTTCTTGGCCTGATAATATAAAATCGCACTAGGAGCAAGGCCAATCCCTGCTAATGTAATAGTTATCTTGTATCGAAAGTTGCATAATATAATAAAGATATTAGCATCACATACAAAACTTTCAACTAATTTTAATGAGCTCAAGGATAACTTAAGTCGCCGTGGGAAGATTTGGACTACGTTAAAATCAAAAATAATTTTCTTTACGTCATACAATTGTATGCTTTATGACGTACACACTACAGGCGAGTATGCGACACAATGCCCAAGATAGCCAACATCAATATCAGGCGTGCGAATGCATCAGGTATTTTCACTCGTGCTGATCAAAGTGTCAAGATAAACTGTATTTTCTAACGGTTTAATGAAGTTTTTGTCGTACACACTTGTTTTGAACAATAGCAATGTTTTTATTCGTTATAGATAAGTGTATGTAACAACGCTGTTTTCAATAACGCATTTTCTTTTTCAAATAATAGCATAATAATGAAAATATCGCGTCAGATTTTCTCATTTGTAGGTGGTAATTGCAGATTGAGGATAGTATGTTTGATACTTCTCGTCTTTAGAAAGTTTTATTTTTGTCCAACATCAAAGAATCGTACCCATATTGTGTTAGTGACACAGACATAGTGTTAGCTGTGAAGCTGTCGTTATTTACATGTTTTACAAAACTCAATAAATATAAACTCACTGTTTCAAGGCGGGCAGGTATGAGTAGAAGGCAGCTGATGTGACGTTGTACAGGAAAGGCAGATGCTTGTTGATGTCTCCATGCGCCCAGTCAGAGAAGAAAGCGTTCAGGAGACCTTGGTCACCACCTGTTGCAGAGCACAAGGATGGTATATGAATCAACTTGACAAATTATCCCAGCTAATACGCGAAAGCATTCGCAGCTAAAAGTAACACCTTTCGTATTACTTCTGCGTTGTATTCATGGCATTTTACATTCAAATGATTAATTTGTTACAGCTTCGTAAATAAGGATGATTTTACTTTAATTTATTTTAAAAGAATGTCTGTGAGATGTGAAAATCTTGCAAAGCAGCTTGTCCAAGAAAGTTGCTTGGTTGTTCTCGTCTAAGGTTCTAGAAAATCTTACCATCGAAGCTACCACGTTCCTGTGCGAATGCGATGAGCTTAGTGAAGGTATCGGCAGAAGGGGAGTACACGAAAACTCCTGAGTTGAAGCAGTCGGGCCAGCCGACGTCAGGGGCAGCTGACAACTGTTCACGTTCGAACAACTCGTCGCAGTTTTGGACCACCTAATGACAAACAAAATGTTCTATAAATTCTAGAATCTTCATTTGGCTGACTCAAATACACGCCCTCACATTTCCATTACGAATATTTGGCGTAATTTACTACCAAGCCATAAATACAGAACTATAATATTAAACTATAACATAAATAAACTTATGTAGGTTTATTAATTTGGTTTCAGCTGTTTGCGAGTGTCGTTATGATACGAAAGTTTTTAAATATGCAGTCTATTAGAAATACTATTTTAAGATGACCTTTCTAAAATATCGATATCAAAAATCTACTATAGGTATCACAATTGATATTTGAAACTTTTGTTATACAAGAAGTAGGCATAATTAATTAAACATAAATTAGTGACTCCTGACCTTTCACGTTCCAGACATTTTTAAAGATCTAATCAATGCTCTCATTATACAAAATTTTCGTTGTGATCCACGTGAGGAACATGTACATAATATGTTACTAATGACTGGTATGTTTTATCAAGAACTCGTTTATCTACGCATGGATAAAAACTTGGAGTTGACACAATAACCTGCGATAAATAAAAACTCATCGAGTCAATGGATTCTATCGAGACACTATCTCATTGTTTATTATTGGAGCTCATATTATCCATAAATTGAATTTTTCTACACGTTTACATTATGTAATTTCATGATATAAATGATAATGGTTCGCTAACATCGTGTAACATTGCTTTTACTTTCCCTGTATTCGTCGTCTTCAAAAGAAGTGAAGAATGAAAGTAAAGTATATTGGAGCCGATCCAAAATTGTCGGGAACAAAATATTTGGGCCACGGTTATGCTCTCGTCATCTCGTGTTACTGCACTAACGTTCACATCCGGTAACATTGACTTTCTTATCTCACAAACAGTTACAGATCCAAATAGAATTAACGACTTTTACATGTGCTCGTTAATAGGAGAATATAAATCGAAAACGAATTGCAAACAGCTATAGATACGTGTTAGCACGAGGGCTATTGTCGAGGTTCACCGCGACATCGTACATCACCTCGTAAAACACTTACAGATTTGGCTGACACATCTAATGTTCTAGTGTTAATGTTTGACCATTAATTTAGCATACTTTTACGACTAATCCTCCAACGACCCACTAATGGCGACGAGTTGGACACTGTTAGTATATTAAACGACAAACATTAATTTAATGCGACAGTTACTACACGAGAATTGATTGAAGTAATCGCCGGCCAAACGTCGTTTATCTAAATTGCTCTTTGATACTGCAAAAATATTTACACTTGGAAGTTTATTTTACCGATCCAGAACATCTCAAACAAGCATGCTAAAATGAGAATCGATATTGATACGAAGACATTAAACCGTTTGCTAAATCGCTGTTGGTAAACAGATTAACATGGCCGATCTTATTTAGTTTAATTCATTAGAGCTGTCGTCGTTATAGGACATCCATTAATTAAACTTTAGAGAGAAGACAGATCTGTCTGCGACAGGTGCCAAAAAAGCTCACCAATGTGTCGGCATCCAGGAACACACACTTGTCGTACTGCGTGAGATTCCAGCAGTGGATCTTAGTGAAGGTGATGCCGAGCTCGGGACGCTGCAGCAGCGCCAGGTGTGCTGCGTCCTGTGAGTCCAGCACGTCCACCGTGATCACTTCGGCGAATACTCCACCAAGCCGCTCTCTGAGGACATCCAACACACATTCATTTTAACTGAATACAAGTATCCTCTTCATCGTTTTGAGCAGTTGAATATAACTGTGGGTTGGCTGTTAGCCACTTAAGAGCAATTGTCATTGATCTTGAACCTTACTTATCTACAAAGATTGCACTTCCACAATTATATTTTTGTATACTTTGGTATGGATTTCAGTCCGTTCGAGTGTCAATATTCAGATTAATTTGACTATTTGTGCAGAACATGTATATTTGTGTAGTCGTTCTCACATCCACGTTGAATATCTACATAAAACAGACGAGTGAGTGTGTGCTGTACGTGAAACATGCGACTATTTGGCTTCGTGAATATTGACGATTGCATAAATTATTCACTAAATTGAAATTTGTGAATTGTCAAGTGTGAAATAAATATACTGGTTCAGTGATAATGGAGTATGACTGTACTTGGACAATCATACAATCAGCCAATAATGGCAATTTAAAAATAGGTGTTATCTTCGTACCGCGCTCAATAAGATTCAACTCCGTGCACTACGTACCTACTGTTCATTTTCATTGAATTTCAATGACTGTTCATTTAAGCTTTGAATTTAAATGGCTAAAGCAATTTGAGTTAAATGATAGCAGCAAGAGTAAAAATAGCAAACAATCGTATGAAAAGGAGTGGCCGAATGCATTTGGATTGCTTGTTCGACTCTGCCTTCTTCTGCAGATGTGAAATTTACAAAGACAAGTTGAATGCATCGGTTTCTAGGAGCTGAGAAATATATTGTAACTTAATATAAACTGAATATATTGTAGCTGATTATCAGCCCTACTCCCAAATCCCAAAATTTCACTTGAATTCTCTTTGTAAAAATTCGCGAGGAAGTTCATTAACATTTAGTAGGTATAGGAAATGCCAGATGCCGATAAGTTACAGTGTATTCGTATATTATATTTTGTCTTGTCATTCAAAAACTAAGAATAGAAGCATCTTTGTCGTGGGTGTTGCCGTAATGTATTCGCAGAATATTTATAGGACTAGTGGGCAATAAAATCCACGTTCCTTTTTGCAGATAGCAATATCGTACCCGCTATGCTGGATGAATAAAATTTATTTTGAATAGGGATACTGGTCTTTATGTATTGAGATTTCAGTGTGGGAGAGCCATGCTTCAGCACAAATGGGTTGGCTTGACCGGAGTGGTATCATGGCTTTACAGAAAACCGGCGTGAAACAACCACAATGTTGTGTTTCGCCGTGTGAGTGAGGTTACCGGAGTTCCAATCCCTCAGACATGAACTCTGTTGGACTCCATCTATGGTGGGGTTTCAAGCCACACTAGGGCATGAGCATTCGCGACACACAATGCACGGAACGAGACGCAGCTAACCAAACGTAATTCAAAAACTTTGGTTTAATTAAGTTTCTGTTTTAGAGACATCCTAAAGAACTAATTAAGAAAACTGAACTCTATCCAAAGGAAGTAGGTACATTTAATTACATGTAGATCAATTAATTATAGATACTATTAAACTAGATTAAACTAGATTGTAGCTACCACAGGTAGTTTAATGGACAGTTTACCCTTTCGATCGAGGTATCTAATTAGAGATACAATGTGTGACTTAAAAGGTGTCCGAACGCGTTCGCTTGGGGTTTGATGAATTAAACAATTACCTTTACTGATTCATACAACATAATAAAAAGTACATTTTTATACCTCATGGGGTCAGTGACGGACGGTGTGATGAGAACCACGGCCGGGTACGAGGAGCCGACGCGGCGCAGAGAATGCGCCAGCACCAGGGCTCCCAGACCGTAAGAGTCGTTTGTAGCTAACGTCACCCATGCTCGACCTGCACACAAAACAATGTCGTAAGAGGAAACCAACACACAATCAACATCGCATCAACTTGACCTGTATTGTTTTGTCAACAACAGCGCTGATGCGCCTGCCATCGACCATGTTTACACATTTTTCTAGTCGACAACCGTTACTTTCAAATACTGGCTCTCGACTTCTGCACCTTCTAGTCTTCAGATTGTTTGCCTGTCGCTGGCCAATATTTGCAAAAGCCCACTTGTAACAGATGTCTACATTAAGTGATAATAACCGTGTCTATTAAACAGATAACCCAAATCTTGTATAAGTGTTGCTGAAAAGTTTGACATAACAGAACCGGAAAATATGTGTAGGTGAAGGTACAGCATATTAATAAAAAATAAGCCTAACACTACTATAAAACAACCTGTGTTAGCAATCTTAATGATTTTCATTTCTATTTCATCAATATTAAATATATATCTAGGTGCTGTCATTGTATCGAAGTATTTCTTTTTTTAAACTACTTGGCAGTTGACTTCTTAATAATTCGCCGGTTCCATTTTAACTTTCGTAATTTATGAAAGTATTTGTGAGAGATAAATAAATAGCGAATACTGTCACCGGCTCAATCGAATACGATATTTATAAATCCGCATATAATTTATGTTTCATTTACAAACGCACAAGTCTAATCACATTTTCTGTAGTCGCCTTTGGTGCCAAAGACGTAAATATCTAAAATAACTGGAGAAACGTTGTTTTGGAGGATTACGTAGACTGTATTTTAGCAATCCGCTGTCTGTTCGTGTTGGGCGTCGCCTTCGTCATAGAGAAAATGCTATGAGGAAGTGCGCAGTTTCTTCCTCTTGAGATAAATACGCAGATCGTATACATATATATATCTGTCGTAAGTACATACAATATTGGCACGTGCTAGGGGAGTTGGCGCCGCTGCGTGTGCGCAACAATATTTCTTCACCTGTCAATAACACCACGTGTCTTAGTGCAGTCCCGACATTCAGTCTAATTAGGAAACATTTATTTTCTAGTCATTTATTTGCACGCCTTGTGTTATATTGGCATGCCATAAGATTTATTAGCCTAAATTCGTTTTGCAACAAGGTCTGAGACGTTTATAACAATATTAATTACAACTTCATTGCTTCTAGCTGTATTATTTGTATGCAATTATTATATATCAGAAAAAACATCTCGGATTCCACAAAAACTTTCACGGGAATAGCTCCGGGCATCCAGCCTGCGTGGGCCATTACATATCCACCAAGTAATAGACAAGTGCCGCACGTTCTGTTCCGAAATAGCGCGACACAAATAAAATTCAAAATAAAACTACTGTGTAGCGTTAGATATTTGGTGTCGAGTCCAGCCACGCTTATGTATTCCGCAATTAAACTCGTAAGTCTTCCCGATCGCAGCACGTAAGCTTAGACTGCAGACAGCTAACATAGCAATAGGTGACTATTGACTTGTGACGTTCCAGACGGTAGGGCATTTTCTACATAAGCAGAGAAAAATGATGTCCAAAATAAAACTATCTACATATAAACAGCAAATACGAATTGAAATACTAATCCTAAAATTAACCCAGACATTTTTTGATGTTGTTTATGTAAACTTAAACATCCTTCATGTCATAAAAACTATCAAAACCTGGCATCAATTTTATCTCCGGAAATTCCGTCAATGTGTACATTCGAGGCCGATTTTTAGTATGCAGAAATGTGCTCATTACATGTTTTTACAGCGTTAATGGTTTATCAACATCGTAAACGCAGATCGATTTATTTTCTGGAAATTAGTTTGGTTTGGTAGCTACCCGGATGATTTAAAGTTGACTCAACCAAAAATAAATTCAAGTTAATTTATTAGAAGGAGATACTCCAGTGGTAAAAGGCACCCCAAGCACCAACAAGGCACTCGAGAGTTGAGATGCAGGATCAGGCGCGCTCGGGAGCAATGTCCCTGCGGTTTCTATTTAGGTGCGGCCGGTCCGGCGGGATGGAACCACGCGGGCAGTCGACCGTTTAACGGAATAAAGGAATGCAATGATGACGTGTTCATCTTTTTATATTGTTATACATATCTACCGAACTATTTGCAAAACCTGGACAATCTGCATATTTCGGCTGAAAAACTAGTCTTCGTGATCCACACTTTCTAAGTTCGCTTCTTTGATGCGCACGCTATGTGCCGACAACGTAAGGAATTTCACTTAGCCAATATTTAATTTTCAGAGTAGTGAAGTGAAACCCGATGTCTTAGGTCTTGTAGTTTAGAGAAAGTGGGACTGGTTTGCGAATTCTCAGAGTTTAGTGCTAACGAAACCCATAAATCTCTCTACGTATAAAACCTAAACGAGCGACTTCATGTTCTGCAAATTCCAATTACTTTTTAACATGTTATACAAATCAAATTATTTATTGGTGCATTGAAGGTTATTCTTTATTAATGTTAAATAGGTGCTTTCGAGGCATGGAATATCTGCCATTGTCTCGAAATTTGAATGCATAATTATATTTAAATCAAATGAGGTAGACAGATTTGTAGTTTGCTATCAACTAGCAACGTTAAGGTTGGCGCCAGATTAGCCGCAATCAGGTCGGATGATCCTTTGCGGTTTGTAAGTATTGATTGTCGGGTATCAAGTTATACCTAGAAATACAAGGCTCATGTAACCACAATTCCCAGATTATATCAACATTGTAAAATTGACAAAAAAGTTTCAGTCTTTTTAATTACATACCTAATGCAAAGCCTACCCTCTTTTTGATACTACAGAGAAAAACAGTAAATCTTTCAAAGTCAGGGACAAAAACATTTTTATTCCAACTAAACTATTTACAAATGCAATAATAATAGTAAAATTTTAATTAGTCCTGTTCGCCAGTGAGGTTGGGTATTGAGGTAGACTTTAAACATATTTTTGCATACTTTTATGGAATGCGAACGATGTTACCGCAGTTTCCATAATATTTGCTATCACGTAGCTGATAGGCTCCGTGTTTATGAATGTAGGTATTTGTATCAGATAACGATACTCTGTTTACGATCTCTTACCGCTGCGCTGATACGCAAGAAATTGAACGTAGGGTAGAGAACAATTGATAATCTTTCGCCGCTAACGTCAGTGACGTAGTTGTTTGTGGGGTCAATAAAGATATCCGACACACGCCAGACCAGAATAATTCAAGGTTATCCAGCTTCCTGACATAATTTACTAGAAAAATATATTGTTGTATATTAAATTAACTCAATATGTTTGATTGACCTAATCAAAAATTCGTTTAAATTTCCACACGAGAAATCCAGTTATGATTGGTTTGTAGGTAATTATTAGAAATATTTAATATCTTCTGAGATATACATAATTACAGGTTTACCCAATATCATGTATATCTTCTTATTTTGTAAAAAAAACATTTTAGTATGATAGGCAGTAGAGAACTACAGTCACTGACCAACTTTTTAGTTTTATAAAAATATATTTTATACGATATAAAGTTAAGTTACCTTTAACATTTTCCTTGAATATTTTAAAATGGTCAACAACTAGGAAAATGTTATTTAGTTAGTTCAAAGTTAATAGAAAGCAATTAAAAAAAGACACGACACTTAATTTGTGTGAAATATTTTTAACTACCCTGCTACAATTTTAAAAGCATTTAGATTAGTTAAATGCCGCTAATTCTAGTCATTGTCATTATAATCAACAGCTTCTAAAGTTACTGAAAGTAAATCTGGTATTGAAATATTACGTAAAATACCGGTAATATAGAAGTAGTACGGGAGCTTACTTGACATTATGAGGCCGGGTGTAGTCTCGTGTGTGACAGTTCCAGTCACCTCAGATATATCCACGAACTACACGCGCTCTTCGCGCAGCACTAGCTAATGCACGCAGCGTGCGCGACCGGCGACCGCGACCCCCTCGCCGCGGTGATACCCACACTATCTCGCAAACAAACGTCATCGTACTCAACACACACATTTACCGTGAAAGAAACAACGCATGCGTCAAAATAAAAAATACCTCATGTTACTTTTTAACGCATCTTGAAGAGCATTTAAGAGTTAAAATCTAGTTCACACTAGCAAATATATGAATTAAACGTATTATTTTCAATTTTAGAATGTGTGTTTTATTATTTAGGCTGGCAACACACAAGTAAGAAGTACTCAAACAGCTGTTCGTAGCGATCGATAGATGTCAGTGGGTGTCGCTTTATTTTCGTTGCCGTATATAGCATAACGGTATCCGTAGTAAAATCTCTTCGCTGTAGGGATGGTAGTAGCATTACAAAACGTCGATAATTTAGTATTTCTCGACACTAACATTAATAAATTTCGTTGTGATATCATCTGTTTTAGTTGTTATATCAAGGAAATAATAAACTTTCGTATGATTGCTCATTCACAGATATAAATAAATCAATAACTTATAGTTTTACCAACTTCGTAGCTGAAAGAAACATTATTGTACTGCTTAATTCGCACGTATTATTAAAAGAACCGTCTACGATTTTGTGATTATTCCTTACCACGTCTTCTTTCTCACATTCTTAATTTAATCGATATTTTTTACTGCCATGTACATTTTATCGACGTTCTTGGAGTTACGTGTTACGTCTCTACATCGCTATCCAATAGTCTCTTTCATGCTCGGGGACGTTCCGCGGTATTCTTTGATATTATTAAACGTGAAGTCGGGTCGATGAACGATTTCGGCAAAAAATGACGGTCAATTATGCAATACGATGTACTATAGACGGATTGTAAATATGATTTTGTGTTAGAATAACGAAAAAAGGACAATTTAAGCCAGAAATGTCGTAAACGGCAGGTTAGCGTGTTGTGTTTGTTTTCGGTGTTTCGGTGGAAACGATGGCCAACTCCCCGACTAGTATAGAAACACAAATAGACAGTTTTTTGGAACAATTTAAGAGAAGTGCGTCGAAGGCGATGGAGGAAAGAATGGAATGGCCTGATGGTCCATCGCCAGGTGTCGTCAAGTCTCGGAGCAGCTGCTTCGCCCTAGACGCAGCAGCTGGTGAGTAATAAGTCTAGATTTAAAAATGACCACTACCTTTTATGACGTCATAATAGTTCAACCTTATAACTTTAACCCTGATTAAAATTACAGAACTGCTCTATTTTTAAAAATGTAAATAGGAAGAATGGAATTTAATAAAAATCAAGTACTTAGACCATTCCTACTTACGTTTCAGACGAAAAAGGGCTCTAAGTTGAAATAAATTTGTGTACTTTTTTACGAAAAATATTCAATTTAATTAGATTACTCGCATAAATACGATTAGGTATTATAAACCGATAATTTTTGTCATTTCAGTAAACTGTTCCATTATTATCACTATTTGGGTGAGTAGGATGTTGTTAGTATTGTTACACTAAAAAAACCGCACATAATCCTGAATTAAAAAATAACATTGTGCTGTTGCCGTTTCTCTGTTATATTTTGACAGATTTAGGGTGTGTGACCTTGTTATGAATTGAGTAAAATAATAGTAGGTACCTACTTACCTATACATATTTTGATCATGACTAGTATTTGACGCCTACCCACTATTTTTTTATATAATTTCTCTCTTACCACATTCCATTTATGAAAATGAGAAAGAGTAATTTAATTGAACGTGGAGATGCTTAAATTAACAAGATAAAGACCTATCGCCGTTTCTTTCTAGATTAGGTACGCAGAGATAAAAGTTCCAAATAAAAAAATACAAATAAACAATTGTATTTCTTCTTTGTAATTTTCCTGATCTCTTGAGTAGACGAGTAGTAACTATTTTAAATAATCTAAACAACAACATCATGTATAAAACGGCGTGCATCGGATCCACAGCTCGTAACTAGGAAATAGAAGCGGATGTCGAAAGGAAATGATTTTTATTGCTACAGTACTCATCTGTCCTCTGTCTTCTGTCCATACCAGTAACAAATAAAATAAGTCTAAAATGTCAGGGTTTTGTGGCGGTTGACTATTTACTTCAGTTCCACGTCGTTGCGGACCCTCTTTTATATCTACGTCGTGCCTGCCATAATTATAGCACGTAGGAACAATATGTTGTTATTTACATTATTTGGTTGCAAGTTAAGTTTTACACAAAGTATCCTGACCTTCCATTGACGTCACCGACACGAGTAAATTCAGTGAAGACATACAAGGGCGAAAGCGTAGGTTCTTACAAAATGCGGTTATGGATTAACATTTTCCATTATATTCATATTATTACCCATGAAATATAATTTGTACCTAATATACATATTCGTTATATATCCTTTAACCTAAAATTTTGGTTTTGAGATGTTGCGATGGTCTTTGCTACGATCGCTCCATGAGTCCAAGTAGGATCTGACAGGCTCTGTGCTCAATCAGCTCCTGCCTGACCAGATAGGGCCAAACACCTGCCGCCGGAGGTTCTATTCGGGAAACTTACGTTACAAGGCCATCTACGGGGCCCGGGGCCATGTTGGCACCAAAGAGACTGCGGCCAGCTCGAGTGCTTGTCGCGGCCCAATGGGTTGTAGGCAATGAGGATATAACCACTTGTTTATGGTTATATCCTCTTTGGTTGTGGGTATCGCTAGATTTCCTTGCCGGATCACCTTATTGGGATCCACAGGTGAATATGCTTGTCTTCCATTTACGCCTGCGAAAAGCACCGGTGTAATGTCATGATGGAAGCACGTAAAGCGGGCTTGCAGCGGTAAGACCTCTCTTTGAAGCGTGGCTAGAGAGCCGCACGGCTGACCCAGGTGCTTTTTGAACATGAGACGTTTCAAGAGCTATCAGTTTCAGAATCCGCGTTCCGCGTGGGCCTCAAAATTCATGTATATGGGTCCTCTAGGGTCGATATCCCATCCGATTTGCAATGGTAAATGCTTTAACACGGCCTGGCTCAAGGAATTGGTTAGCTTTTGGCTCACGCTGGACAAGGAATTGGTTAGCTTTTAGTTATTAAGAATCTAACATTCAGGTCATGGAGCAGGCCCCTTGCTCAGGCCAGAAGTCATTTTTTGATAATTATCCCCTTCAAAAAAGACTCGATGTCATCGGACCGTTGTCAAAATGAAATTATGTAATTAAAAAAAAACATATTTCTAATATGTAGTGTATCTTACAAACTTGTGCAAAAACAAATATTTTTGATAAAATAAAATAGGTAACCAGAGTGTATTTCTTTTATTATGCCATACCTTTTCATGCGGACGTGGGAATAAATGTCTTCTTCAAATTTACCGCGCTAGACGAGCGTCGATACGGAAACGCGCGATTGTGCGCCGCCTGGTGGTGGCGCACTGTACTAATTACGTGTTCTACGGCGTCCTCCGATTTTATTCACGGAAAGTGTATCGCCATATTGCTTCCGTGAACTCAGTGAAATATTTGTGCATTTCTCTCTAATTATGACTGTAATATCAAAATGAAGTGATAAAAATCAAACCACAGTCCGTAAGAAACTGTGGGGATACATTTTTGTGCATCTCAGTCTCCGAAATTACGTGAAATAGGTGAGTTTTATTCTTCCTTTGCTATGACTATATGGCCCAATATTCCACGGGAGTTCGATCCGCTATGCGATAATGAAACTTAAAAAATGCGATTAAGGTTAATAATTGCGCGGTTTTTGTTATGTTTATTTACATGAATTTGAAAAGTTATCGCGGTTTTTCTTGTATTGTGCTTTGGGGTTGTCGATTCTAGTAGCAATCAGGGCGGGTTTGTCGAGTGGCTTTGTACATACACGTATGTACGTACATGTGATTTGACGTGAACGATCGGTTGTAGCGTCGAGCAGGCAGAATGTCGTACGAAAAGATGGAAGTGGTGAATCCTGCGGAAAAGGAGGCTAGTGAGGTGCTGCATTCGCTGCTTTCTGTGGAGCGGCGAAGCGTGGACAGCAAGGAGGCGATAATCGTGTCCATACCAGCCGACCAGAACGGAGGCGGCGAGTACGGTGAGAGTGCTCAATGGCATACTCCCGTCATGGGCCAACACTCGGTCTTCGAGATGGGTGGACAAAATATGCAACAACATAACTACAATGGTCACCAAGAACAGGTATTTGCTACTTATTATTGTACACTTTGTTTATCCTTGGGTAGCCATTGTCTGTTTGGTAATCAGTACCTTCAATCATCAAACATATCAGGTTTATGTTAATCATGATTATTACTTTACAGGTTTTGTGGCAAGGGCACACAATACAAGTGGAGAATGGTAATCCTAATTTGCAGACCATGGCTGGCACATATAGCATTGAGTTTGAATCCCATGTCGAAGGTGATCCTGGAGATATGGAAGTGGACACAAAACCCAAAGTTGAAAAGAAAACTGGCAGTAAGAAAAAGAAAAAAGCTGAATCAGATAGTGATGAAGAAGTTCTTGACAATAAACTGGAAGATAATCCAGCGCAGGTGAGCCTTTTCTTATTTGTAAAATATAATTTGAGGTTATCTTCTCAAAATTTTGATTCCAAAACATGTTTTATTAAATTAAGTAGTTGTAATACTAGTTATAAATATGATGTGTATGCACTGCAAGACCCATATACATCAATCAACATCTCAGTTTGATAAAATAACTCAAGAAATCTAAACTGCATGACAATAGCATGAAACCAAACTGTCTGTTTCCATTATTAAAATGTGTTAAAAAGTAAACAAAGTGATTATGTGTAATCAAACTGCTATTCAGATCTATTTGATTATAATTTTAATACATAAAATCATACCTGTACCCAAAGAAATGGGAGGACACATACAGTACTTAATTATATTTATAACACCTACACTTAATAACTCATTAGAAAACCGATCAATGGCAATATTACTTCTGCCTATTACTTTATGTACTAGAGGTTTTTTAAATTGATAATATTTTATTTAGTATGAGATTTAATACTGGGACCTAATTATTGCCAGGCTGCCAGATGATAAACACAACATTCCTGGCACATTCATAAATTACAACACTGTTATATTATATGCATGTGCCATTCATAGCAAAGTTAGTGTGAATTAATTTTACTTTGATAACTTTTGTCTATTCTACACTTAATTTCCCTATCCTATCCTAAGGTAGAAAGACACAAGAGCTAAATGGTTTCAGAGTTCCTATGTATTTTCCATACTCTCACAATATAAGTAATAAACGAAAATAATCTTTAAAACTGCGTATTGTTGTAATTTGTTTCAAAAGTGGCTTCTGTCAGCTATCTGCCCCTTGTTGTTTGTTTGCCTGTTGTTCCAGGCTTATAATCTCTCTTTTAGTAGTTTTTAAGTAAAATATTAACAATTCCACCCATCGTCATATAGTTCATCAATTAGTAAGATAATAATATGATTTATTTATTTTTCAGGTCAAAGAAAGACTGAGGAGAGGGTGTGATTGTAAAGACAACTGTTACCGTGGACTGAACCCAGAAGCAGTTTATCGGCATAGACTAAACATTGCTGAACTAACAAAGAGTGAACATGATATGTACTTGATGGGCATCACAATGGCGAGCTTGGCTAATCCAGCTGAAACATCACGCCACAAAGTCAGGAGGAGATTAAGAGCGTGTTATGTGTATCAAGGAAGGAAGGTTTGCCTCGAGGCTTTCCTCTATCTTGAGAATGTTACTCACTATCAGCTGAAACGAATCAGGCAGCACGTAATGACGCATGGCGTTGCACCGCGGATACACGGTAACGTCGGTAAGAAGCCATACAACACATTCACCCTGGATATTTACAAACATGCTACTAACTTCTTGAAAGAATATTTAAAACAACATGCCAGTTCACCTAAAGATGTTCAGCCATCTGGAGAAAGTGGCAAAAAGGCCAGTAAGACTGTGATCATACAAGGAGACTCTCGGAAACATTTATTCGAGGCTTACAAAGAATATGGAGAAATTTTAGAACCAGGTGTAAAACTTATGGGTTATTCAACCTTCCGTGCTTTCATGAAAGACCAATTTCCTCATGTTAAATTTGCCACTAAGAAGCAAGAAATTCCTAAAGATATGGTGCCCTTCCGCAGCGGTAAGTGTATGACGTACGATAAGAATAAAGATCCCATAAGACTACAGCAAGAGAAGGAAAAGGCCGACGCCAAAAAGGCAGCTATGGAGGCTAAAAAGAAAGAAGAACACGAGAGAGAGCAACAGGCGCAACAACAAGCGCAGCAACAGCAACAACAGCAGCAGGTACAGCAACAACAACAGCAACAGCAGCAACAACAACAGCAGCAGCAACAACAGGTGCAACAGGTGCAGGTTCAGCAGCACCAGCAGATGCAGGGCCAGGCGCACGTGGTGATCCACCAGCAGCAGCCGCAGCAGCAGCAGCAGATGCAGCAGCAGATGCTGGTGCCGCAGGTGAGCCAGCACCAGCAGGTGCTGACGCAGCAGGGCGTCCAGCAGGTGGCGCAGCAGCACTGCGTGCAGCCGCTGGGCGTGGCGGAGGACGCGGGCCAGCCCGTCGAGATGGCCCAGCAGGTCATCCCGCTGGCCGTCGTGCAGCAGCCGCAGCAGGCCTACATCGTCACTCCTGTCTCGCACTTCCAGACCCGTGTACAGGGAGCTTGGTACAGGCATTGACAGCCGTCAGCGGCTACTACGATAACTTTCGAGTAATGCAAAAAATGTAGCTGATGCGAACATTTGTACGTAACTGAAGATCTCGCGATGACTGAACTGTTGTAAAATTGAAACGGTTCCTTGGAAATTCTGTTAATTTCAAACGCCACACGTAACTTTGGCAATAAGTTAGCAAGGATAGTTAGGTAACACCTTTTCAGTATTGGTTGAAAAACTAATTTAATAAAACTATCTGTAAGTATAAAAGTTAATCATATTTACACCATATATTAGCAATTAGCCATGTAGTTTATTTTAGAAGTATGTAATGTGGTTTTTCGAAACAGATACTAAAATTATTTTTATTATGAGTATAGTTAGACATTGTGTAGTAGCTTTTTGGGAAGCATGAAAGAATCTTAAAGAAATTGAGTATGCATCCAAAGAAACTGTTGTGTATGCTAGTAGATAGTATTTGCCATTTTTGTATTGGGCAGAAGAAAACTGTTTACAGAATCAACCAACTGCAAAAGTTTTTTTGGATGTGTTTACTCAAAAAAGAGGAAGTATCAGGTTTGAAACAAGCAAATATTGTATGTTGATGTAAGAAATGCAAAAATATGTAATTTTCTTAATAAGTATACAAAAGTTAGCCAGACTATACCCATTGTTTCCCCAAGTCCCGTATTTAGTATATTATATCATCTGAGGACTGTGGCAGTATAGCCGTTAGGTCAGTCAAAATAATAATATAAATGAAATGTCAATACTTTTCTATGAATTTTGTATGAATATAGACATATATAGACTTGCTTCATCATATTTATGGGTCAAAAAGTATACTTGTGCAAAAATTTTAAAAAAATTAAGAAGCCAAATGAATTAATGACATTATTTTAAATTATTTCATTGCATTGATAAGTTGAAATAACTTGGATAGAGTAAAAGACCCTATCCAATATAAAAATATCTATAGGAACGGTCTTGACCGTTCCTATAGATAGGTAAGGGTCTTTTGATTGAAGAAGATTGAATGCACTCCATTATATCTTGATATAATGAAGTGCATTCAATCTTCGATTATATATTAGCCTTTTAATTCTTACCCTAGTATTGTCGACAGATACGCCTCGGCGCTTTCCATCAACATTTCTTTTCATACATACTTAATGCAAGTCTTGTTGTGTGAGGGTCTTGCATGTTTATCAAGGTTATGTTCAATATAAGAATGCTTGTTACAAATTTCAGCAACCCAACAAGCTCATTGATAACCACTGAATAGAAACACAATTTGCTTGTTCCAAACCTTTACACTTACCAAGAGGGTGGGTAGTTTTGACAGCTAGCAATTTTGTAGGAGAATGGTTTGCAATAGCGATCAATTAATTTAACAATATTTTGATCGACACATTGTTTTCATGTATCAAAAAGCAGTGCCTTCATAAAATGATGTGGATTTTGACATAACTCGTGCGATTATAATTTCGGAATTAATATTTAGAATAAAGTAATATAAGATTTTAATGAAAAGTGATGTATTACAGTGCTTTAGAATGTTTTCAGTAACATAACCAAATAACCTACAGAAAAATTATTTTAGGAGCATACATTTTTGGAAGAATCCATTTATACCATACTTGAATAGAGACACAAAGTAAAAACAACAAACTTTCTTAATGCAATAAATAATACGGTTTCTATTCATTATAAAAACGAATAATGTACTGAAGTTTTTATAATCAATAAAAATTGGGATTATTTTTCAGATTGAATTTAATTACATATCAAGGATGTTGTTACATGTGTGTAGTACACAATTATTTCTACTTCATTTTATTAATGCTTGTGTGTGGTTTATTATAATGTTTTATTGCAAAATGGAGTGTGCAAATAATGTCATTGTCTCTTTCAATAGACACAATTTACAAATATTTGATTTGTAAATTGTAATGAATGCTTTCAGTCGAGTGAAGTTCTTCATACACTGGTGCAGGCAATAATTCACATAGCAATACAACTTGTCTACTACAAACTTATATGTAAAAAACATAATGCAAAAGTGTATTGCGAATTTGTGATTTTTGTGACATTATATTGATCACTTTAGATTTAGTGTATCACAATGAAAGGACGCTTATAATATAAAGACAATTTAATTCAAAGATATGCATTTTGTTTTGTGACATCAAGGAGCATACTTAGTTTTTTAAAACTATTTAATTGTCGATCAAGAAGGCTGACTTTGAATGCTGAGTTATAAGACCTCGGCTATGAGTTCATACTTTAGTAAGGATTTATTTAATAAGTGCAGACAAATTTAGGTAGTTAGTAATAACACTAGGAGTTCTAGTGTGCCTAGTTTTAATATCATGGTGACCAAATTTGCAATAACGTCAGTTTCAAAAATGATCTTGTTATTTATTAACATGTAACCATAATACCAGTAACATAGTACAGACAGCTTTGTTTCAATTTTGATGATATTATCCTGTTTTCATTTTTTGAAATTTCAAAAGATGCATAATATGCAAATCTCTTGTTCACTAAATTTGCAAGTCACGGTAATACATTATTATATGTATGTATATGGAAGTCAAGAGAACTGGATGTCTAGGCACATGAATACAAATTCTTGTTTAGATATTGAAACTTACCAAGAAACAAGCTCAAGAGATTTGCCATCATGCACTATTCAATTGCAAATGTATCATGAAAACTGAAGGTTTAGATTAATATTTGACACTATGTATTTTGCAGATATTTTAATTGGCATATTTATTATCCCAACGATATTTTACTTATAATTACGACTGCTTAACTGATAATATTAATGATACCAGTTCTTTCTGTAAAACTCTTTTAGGTATTATTATAATTTTGAAATTTATCAAAAGCCACAAGTAAAATGTCTTCACGATGACAAGACTAGTAGTTTTCGAATCGGAGACGAAATTAAAATCTCACATTATTTTTTAATTATAATGATAGCGTTACGTATGTATAACTGATAGAAGTGTGTAATCATTATCAACTTACCTATAGACAGTACAGAAATGTGCCTAGAAATTATGCTTATCCATGTATTTTTGTAGTGCAATAACATGTAAGATTCGGAGCAGATTTTATAAAACGATCACCAATGAAATAAATGTAATATTCTTTTAATTGTAACACAAGTCCAGTGTAAAGCCGAATACAGCAAATCATGACGTAAATTTACCGTCTGAATTGATGCTCACAACCATTTGCTTCGAATCGTAGTGATTTGCCCTTAGCAAAACATTCGGCATCGCATGTTCCAAAATTATTACTGTAGGAAGACATGATGTGATAGAAATAAAACTTTTTTACGCTATACTATGTGTATCAATTAACCCGTATTCCAGGGTTCGGGACGTAGGTACGATCGGGGTCGAGGCTCCCACGCCATCCTCCAATAGTCCGGTGCTGAGTTACAACCGGAGATTGTCCGCCGGGGGTGTACGTTCGTCGCACTCGTTCTGCCTCGGCTCATTGGTCTCCTGCAGCCGGCCACTTCACTCGACAATTTAATAAATCCTCCGCGTCGTTCATTTGTAAACAAAAGTCATTGTTTCGGACTAAACCGGACAGTTTGACGATGGCGACTTGCCTTAGCGGGCGCGCGTGGTGTCATCTCACTATTTGGTGACCTCCTACGAAACTCGAATTCGATAAAAATGAAATTTTGGAAGTGTAGCACTAAAAGGGAACGAAGAGCAGCTGCTATTGGTGAGTGCTAAAACTTTCTTTTGTGTGAATAGTTTATATGTGGTACCTACTACTCTTGTGTCCATTATTGATTGACCAACGAACGTATGGACAATGTTTTGGTACAGTATCATTTGCATTGCAATATAATTTTGATTGAACAATGTTATAAACTACTTGGTGTTATTAAATTAACCTAGTTTCGGGCCGGTTTGCTGAAACGATATCTGCCATTTGTCTTGATTATAGAATGCGGAGAAGATACAGTTCTACGCATTACTAACGAGAAGTCACTGAACCATCAATTGACTGGTATAATTGGTAAAGTACCTTAAAATACTGCAGTCATTAATAAAATAGACTTTATGTGTTTTCAGATTCATGTTTTCTAAGACTAGCACTAGGTATTAGAAACTGATGACTTAATCGAAACTGACCTTCAAATATTTTAAATGCATAACGAATTTTGTCATAATAATTTGCACGTCGAAATACCTTACCCATATCAGAAATCCAAGTCCCAATACAAATATAAATCCAAATAAAAAGAACTTGAAGCAGTAGAAAAAGTCTAATTGTTATCGAAGTACGCGTATGGCCAATACGTTACTAAATTGTTTTTTTACATCGACCATCGATCACATATTATTTATAATACGTCGTTACATATGACGCAGTTATAATTTGTATCAAAATATACTACAAGTGCATCGCAGTTTACACTAATATATACTTAAAAACTAAAAGGTAATATATAGACTCTAGATTTTGTTAAACGAGTGTTAAAAACAGAACTCAGTGCCTGCATAACATGTTCAACATAACAAAAAAAATAATTTCATAACATTCATTGTTTATGCAGTGTGTCTATAATCCTATACCGTAACATGTCGCATACATTCTTGTTTTTTTCACTTTGAATACTAGCAATACCTACAACTGCTTGTTAAATTATACTTATAAATTTATTTATTTGGACAATCAGTAGTTGTTACATTAATACTTAACTTAATATTAATGAAATAGGTAGTAGAAACGATATGCAAAACTCCTCAATAATGTTTACTGCACTAGTGAAAACGGTATATGCAGCAGATGCGACGAATGTTTTGTAACATGAATTCTTATTTAAGCTCGCATTCTATTCTAACTTATTAATATTACCTCTCTTGTATTAATATGTATAATAGCGCTTAATATTACCCACCTATTTAGAGAAACATGTACCCACAGGAAAGGAAACTTGTTTATAAGAAGTCGGCATGATGCCCGCAGACGGTCAGAGCGTGACCGCCAATCTTTATTACTTTGTGGACAGACGAACCTTTCTTTTTTTGCTGTTTCAGTTTAGCTCGTTTATTTCACCAAGGGTAGACATTTGCGTGGGGGAATTAAGTGTTTATTAAAATTATCCTCTCAATTCCCAGCAGTGGGTGACAAAGAAGATAAAATAATATAGCTCTTTTTTAGCTTTCTTCTCATTGCTTTTATTGTGCACCGCTGTACATTTTTTATCTAAGACAATAAATATAATTTCTGTATTTTGTGATTGGGTGCGAAGTTTCCTCCTTCATACAAACTAGCGTCACCCGCGGTTTCACTCGCTGCTCGGCTTCGTTTGATTGTAGCGTGATGTTTTATAGTCTATAGCACTCGGGAAAATAGTAGCTATCTATCAGTGAAAGAATTTTGGGAATCCGACCAGCGGTTCCAAAGATTACCCCCTACATACAAACTTACCTCTTTATAATATTAGTATAGATAAGAGCACAGACCTACATAAAGAAGATTCTCAAAAGTTTTTAAAGTTCCCGAATACATAACTGCCTTTTTATTTTTGGAAAATCATCCAATCACTTTGACCAACCTGGCTGAACCGAGAGGAAAGGTCAGACTGTTACAGACTAAAAAACAATCTGTTGCTTCTGCTGCTCTAAACCGGGTTGAGGTACATCATTGCGCTTGCACCCGTGACCCAACAAGTGCCTGCAAGTAAAATCGTTTGATAAAAGCCAAAAGGCTTTTTATCCACGTGCGAATCGCTTCTATGTAATCGATGCACGTTCGTTTGGGCATATCGATGCC